GAGAGAGAGAGAGAGAGATGTGTATAGGGAAACAAGGTTTAGGGTGAGGGTAGGAGGAGAATTAGGGAAAGGGTTTTGGACGGGGAGAGGGGTGAGGCAAGGTTGCCCTTTAAGTCCGGCTTTATTTAATATCTTATTGAAGCTCGATAAGTTACTAAACTTAGAAATAATACGGTCATCCGAGCCGATCGCAGGATGTTGTGCGGAAAACTGTGTATATATATATATATGCATATATATATATTTTGTTCGCGTGTCAATTTTTACACGCGAGTTTTTGAATTGAATATCAATTCTTAAAATTCATATAGGATGCTGGATTTGCATCACATATATGAGAGATCCCATCTACCCTCCTAACTAATTTTAAAATTATTGCGAAAAAATACTCCTCAGCCAGGAGTCGAACCTGGAATTTCCGGCTTTCCGGGCCGTCGCCTTCCCTGTTAGGCTACCGAGGCACTTGGAGCAATTCTCGCAATACTGTATATATCTATCGAAGAAACCGATAGTCCTAAACGCTTATTTAGACCAGCGTACCAACATATTAAATAAAGAAAGACCAGTGTCTTTCTTTATTTAATATGTTGGTGTCAGACTTAGAAGATGTGTTGAGTAAGGGGGGATGGGGAGGGGTAAGGTTAAAAAGTACGAAAATATATACGCTGGCGTATGCTGACGACATAGTGCTGATGGCGGAGGAAGAGGAAGGTATGGAGAACAGACAGCGTCATTAATTCGAAGAATAGGCGCGGGGATCGGAGAGCAAGCGGGGCGGTTGCTCGTAGCGCCAACGGGCGCCGTACTAACTAACTAGTAGCAATCGGGTGTCCACAACTACGTGGACACCCGGCGCCCGTTGGCGCTACTAGCAACCGCCCCGCTTGCCCTCCGATCCCCGCGCCTATTCTTCGAATTAATGACGCCGTCTGTACATGATAAAAATGTTAGAAAGGTACTTGAAGGAAAAGGGATTGGAATTAAATGTTGGAAAGACAAAGGTGATAAGATTTAGGAAAGGAGAGGAAGAGAGAAAAGAGCGGAGTGGTGGTGGAAAGAGGAAAGGTTGGAAGAGGTGAGAGAGATTAAGTACCTGGGATTTGTATTCCAAAAGAATGGAGGAATTGAAGCGCAGATGAGGGACAGGGTGGGGAAGGGAGTTGCAGTGATGAATCAGATCTGGGGGATAGGGAAAAGAAGATTTAGGGGAGATTGAGGGAGACGTTTATGGCTGTTTGATGCTTTGAAATGGTCGGTGGTGGGGTATGGAGTGGAGGTGTGGGGATGGAGAGAATGGAGAAAAGTGGAGAGTTTACAGGAAAGGTACATTAGGTGGGTGATGGGTGTAGGGTGGTGCACACCGGGGTATTTAGTAAGGGCGGAAGCGAACAGGGAGTTGCTAAGGGGAAGGGCTGGATGGAGGGCGATAGGATTTGAGGAAAGGTTAGAAAGAGGGGAAGGGAGCGGAATAGCAAGGAGATGTTGGGAGGAAATTAAGGAAAGAGCGTTGGGGGGAGGAGAATTATCGGAGTGGGAGAAGTCAAGAGTAGAATTTTTTGAAAGAAGAGGTGTGAGTATGGAAAAGTGGAAAGAGTTGAGAGAGAGAGGAAAGAGTGGAGATTGGAGGTGATGATAGAGAAGGAGAGGAAGATGCAAGAAGAGGAAAACTGGGAGAGGATAGAGATCTCAAAATTTAATGAGTGGTACAAGAGGATAAAAGGGGTGGGGGTTCCGGGATATTTAAAAAAGGGGTGGAGGGAGAGTAGATGGCAAAGGGTTGCGGGTTATAGATTAGATGACAAAATGAGGGGGGGGACATATTGGGTTGGAGAAGAGGAAAGAATATGTAAGATGTGTGGTTGGGAGAAGGAGGACTGGAGGCATGTATGGGAAGAAAGTAATAGATGGGGGGCAGTAGGGAGCTGGGAGGAGATGGTCGAGGTGGTATTAGGAAGTGAAGGGGAGGGAGAAGAATGGTTGAGGAAAATTGATAGGGCGAGGGAAGATAAAGATGAGAGGGAGGAGAGTGGAATGGAGGTAGAGTGAATGTGAGAATGAATGAGGGTGTGGTATTAATTTACGCTAAAGTGATAAGAACCGGAAGCGGAGGTCCCCATGGATAGGTTAGGTTAGGTTAGGGACAAGCGTGTGTGTGTATATAGGAGAAATCTGAGGGATAGATGTAAGCTAGATGTAAGAGGTAGGTTAAGTTTAGAAGTAAGTTAGTGTTAAGATAGAATTAAGTTGTTGTAAAATATTGTAAGTCTAAGGAGATCAATAAAATATACTACTACTACTACTACTACTACTACTACTACTACTACTACTACTACTACTACTACTACTACTATAACTACTACAAATTTATCTACAAAATCTATTCTACACAAAAGACGTGATATATATTATAATAATAATAAAGTAGTAACACTAATTGAAAAACTATATATAATTGTAAGATATTTGTGTAAGAAATTAGAAGCTTATGTAGATCACGTTTTATATCCGAAATACTCGGTTATAGATAACATTATTATATGATTACTAGCGGACCCGACAGACGTTGTCCTGTACACACGTTTTTAATTCGAAAATTTCAAACTTTTTTTAATAAGCTATAACAATCTGGACCGATTTGATGAAAATTATTATTAAAAAGTTATTACAATCTTTATCGTCATTACATGTACACTTATCA